CTTCTTGCAAAAGAGGTAGATTTCTCATCAAAAAATCATGTTTCTCAAGAAATTTTGGAGTTTGAGAAAAAGGCACAAACTTATCGGACAACCTAATCTAACTGGCTCAAAGTAAAATACATTTAGAATTTATTATACAAACGAATGCCTATAAAACCTCTCCATTACACAAGAAATACCACGTGAAATTTATCTTACATGTAGTGCGATTGAAGCTCACCGAAATGGTACCGTTAATAGAACTAGATAGGAAGCCTTTATAATTTAGATCTTAGTTGTTTTTTTCTAATATGGTAATATCGCACAATCAGTCCCTAATGATAGCTGTTTTAGCCCTAAAATAAATCAAAATACGTCGCGGGCTTATATGTTTCAGCCCATTCTGATCAGGTTCCTGTCTGAGTAGTAACTAGCATCACGCTCTCTTATCTTATCCACATTCTTCATATCACACAACTGGTTAATGCTTCTTAGCGAATGGGTAGTGCTCACTCTCTGGCTAAGCTAACAGAACTAATCCAAGATCTAATTAGAGTACAAAGCTGGATTATGCTAGTTAGCTATGAGTCTAGTGCGGAATCTGAAAAGTCATTCAGATATGAGTAACGGAAAAATGCACTTACCCGGTCCACCTTAGTTATAAACTCATTATGGAAGGAGATCATGATTTTGACATTTGAAAATAGTCCTGGGGGATTAGTCTAAAATATGTAGTGCATAGAACATATATTCATCATAAAGTGTTATTTTTAATTGTTACCGAACGTGTCGTAACAACACCACATTCATCCTTATTTATAAGAATAGAAGTTGTTCGTCTTCCAGTATCTCGTGAGAAACACCTTGTGTCATTCGCATGTCCAATAACGAATATTCGTCCTAGAAAAAAATTTCGGTCAGTAATTATTTGCTTTGCACGAGCAAGTTCGAACTGACCATCGAAAACAGCTTCTGTCAGAAAAACAACTTCAATTGTTTTGTCACCGCATTCCACTTCGGCTTTTCCTGAAATAGCCATTTTTTCTCAAGGCTTCAGTTCTCACTAATGATGCTGAACGATGTTGTCATGTTTGAAAATTTCAAAACCAGTAATTTTACCCCATGCTTGAAGGATCAATTTTGACTTGTATGTCGGTGGAATTTTGGATAAATGGTTGAAATGGAAGAAAAAGAAAATGAGTATGATCGG